GTCTGATTTTCTGTCATTACGTCATCAAAAATCAATAGTGAATTCGGCTTGGCTTTTGATGGTGGTAGAATATCAAAATTGTAGTTAAATGCATATTATCCTAAACCATTGATCGAGGTTAGTACTTTCTGTATAAATTGATATTTCGGTTGCTTCAATGATTCAGAAAATATACAGGGTGACTTTGAAGTTGACTCATTAATTTTCAGATAATGATTGTAGAAGGAAGATAAACCAAAATATGTGTGTAAAAATAAAAAAAAAATAAAAAAAATGTTACCTTGTTTTACAAAGTATCCTCCCGACAAGTATTTAAGTGCGGACTTGTATTTGATCGTGCGGTCTTTGAGCACCGGCATGCCCTCACCTGTGAGGTCTTAAGTTACCTGAGTCACGAGCCCTTTGTACTACATTAACAAAGGCACGAGGGGTTGGTTGCACTCGATTGGGAAACCGATCCGCATAAATCCGTGATGCCGCGTAAATAAGAATCATGTCCACAAGTTCAGCCTTTTCGTAAACATGTGCCATTTTTGATTTCGTTTGAGGCACGCAACAGACACCACTATTCACTCACGCGTTACCGACTGACACAATAATTGTAAAAACATCGTTCCAAATTCTTTCGCTTTTTTGTTTCCGATGCGATGAACCGATAAGGCGGATTATATCCGTTGTTGCCAAACACGAGCACATAATATTATTATTGAGACAGGACGGTACTCAAACTTCCAAAGGGCTATAACTTTGTTACTTTAATTTTACCAGAAAAATGGTAAAGGAAAAAAACATTTCTTTTGATCAGATCTACTCACTGTTAAAATAAATGACTCAACTTCGAAGTCGCCCTGTATAGACGTTTTCAAAGAGGAGTCCATTCTCATGTAGCAGTAACGATATTAATACGTTGGCGTTTCCATAGTTCGATGGTCCAACAATAATGCAGCGGATTGCGAATGGGAGGAGACTTCCATGCCGCTGCATAGCATTGTTTTGTATATCCGCCACCTTTGTATCAATATTGCTGATACATAATTCTTGTTTCTGTTTTGTGACCCTCATTGTACAACGAGTTGAGCATATATAAACCGCAATTGCGTATGTCTGATTTATTTAAATCCCACTACTTCGCATTAGAGGGTGTCAAAGCACTCCAAATCTGCTGGTGGTGGTGGTTTTGTCGATAAGGCTGATAGATAAGTTACCATTCGAAGTACACTTACCTTCTTACCAGTTCTGCGGTCCAGGGCCACGTCTACAAAAAAGGTTAGCCCTAGGTCAGAAAGGCATTAATAAATTATAGACTCTGCATGCTTACTGCATGATATCAGAAATCTGATGTGACAGCGAGACACGTTGCTGATTATCAACTTGAGCAAGAAACTTGGAAGAGTCAAATCTCGAGACGCAAAGCTTGAAGAAAAAGCTGCTGCTTGGTTAGTTACTAATATTATGAAAGTAAAACGTCACGCAGGAATGGGTCAGCATCATGTTGTGTACGGAGTAGAAGAAAATACATCCGCAGAAAATCGAGTATTATGAAAGCCAAACGCTGTATAGGTATCGGAGGAGATGCATTACGTCGTGGACCTAAAGGAAGAAAAGCTATCCCTAGAAACTCAAGTACATCACAGAAAAAGGTACATTTTGGATTGGGGATAGTGAATAAAGTATGCAAACACATGAAAAGGTTCTCAAACTGTAATCCAGACAAGAGAGTATTAGCAAAAGCGACTTCCGCTGCATTACTTGCTGTCCGGAAGCATATCAGATCCATCGGTGGAAAACGGCTGATTCAGCTTCCACGAGTTGGAGGCATCCTTCCTTTGATACCAATTTTCGCTGGTCTTTCAGCATTAGGTAGTCTAGCTGGGGGTATTGTCAACATAACAAGAGCTGCTAAAACAGCTAGTTCACTGCGTGAGCAAAATCAAAATAAAACCAGTTCAGCACCTTCCTCCAACGTGAATCGAATTGGGGATGGCCTCTTTCCGAAACCATACCGTAAAGGATTGGGGTTATTCATCAAGTTAAGGAATTCAAAAAACTATTGAACACCCTTCCCCCTCGACCGCTAATAAATATAGATCTAATCTATTATGCTAGGAAGCTAAAAATATCATATTTCAGAGGAGTATTTATGCGCGATGAAATGTCCGAACATGGTCCGCTGAAGAATGAATCAGTCATAATAATTTAGATAGCAAGAGTGGGAATGGGTCACATTGGGTTTCATATATAAAACGTGGGATGGTAGTATAGTACTATGATAGTTTAGACAATCTACCCCCACCCAAGGAGCTAATCAAATATTGTACCAACAAGTCGAAAAAGATAAAAATCTTGTACAATTATAATCGACAACAACAGTTCAATAAGTTTTGGTGTGGTCATTTGGGTCTGCGATTTCTATCTGAAGAACATCAGAGCTCCGAAGGCAATGGATCACGGAGGATTGAAAAAGATTAGAGACTCTCTTAAAACCTTTTCAAGTGAGAGAAGCCTGTTAAATACGACGCGAGATGAAATTGCACACATACAAAAAGAGGTACTCATAATGCTGCACGCCAAATGAAATAGCGCATGTATGGAACAAACTACCGGAGCATTTGAAGGAGGACGCTGATATACAGCGATTCAGTTCTGCTGGGAACAGCATAGAAGAAGGAGGAGTGATGATGAAGCAGATAGACCGCCACCAAGAAAAAAAATTGCTGTTATTGTAACATGCAAGATATCAATACATCTGAATCAAACAACTGTTGTAACCAATAAATATTTGTTTACCTATATAAGACCACGTTTTCATTCATTAACTCTTCAGTCATGTCTAACACATTTACTCTAACGGGTTACACTAGCAAACTGTCTGCTAATTTTTATCCACCAATCGAGTTGGATATAAAGTGCGGACTGTGGTCTGGGGTTGATAGGCTTTTATTCATAGAACACCATATACAAACATTGATGATTAACATAATAAAATATCTCTTACTCACTAAGGTGACGAGAGTAATGTGGTAACCCTTGTTCACGTGCTAAAATCATATAACCTTTCTTTTTACTATTTTGACCACTTATGAGTAATTTGAATTTCTCTTCATTAATACTAGAGTACCGATTCTTAGACCAAACCTTTTTCAATGATTTTCTTTTGTCAAATTTCATAGCTTATTGATTGTAGAATTTCTCACGTATTATATTATCTGTCATTCTCAGCGACTCAATATTGTATTGAAATCTTTCTTCTATCTGAGAAGTCTCCTCATAAAATATTGTTGGTCCCTCGTAGACAGATTTGTTTCTGCCCAGTGGCAACCAGCTCGACACCTTGTGACTTTACACGTACTAGCAGTATAGGGACATATTGTTCTATCAAGATAAGCTTCTTCAAGGCCATTCACTTTACCTTCTTTTAATGTTTACTTTCCTATCAAGGAACCTTCTGTTAAAATTTGCCTTACTATCAAGATACCTTCTTTACCGGCTTTTATCTGTTCCTTTTGATGATCTGTCGAACGTGTTTTCTTCGGGGCAACTTATTCAACCTTCTTTGAGGGGGTTGCGTGCGCAGACGGTCCAGTGCCATTTTAGTTTCTGCTGTAGTTTTGGTTGTGTGCGAGCGTTATTTTTCGTTAACTTCCAGATTTTGGGATATTAACGCCCCAAGCACCAGTTTATGGAGTAGTACCCCTTTATCTTGTACCTTACGTTTAGTTGTATTGGTGGGTACTACCCCGTCCATTTTGTAATAGGATTTTAACCTGCAGCGGTAAGTTCTCTTTTGTATACCATCGGACTACGTGCATTAATGCTTGTCCTGAAGAAGTTTGTTCAATATCTGATTCCTTTTAGTGGAAAGTCATTGTGGAGAACCACCATCACACTCCTCCAGCTTTGTTTTGTTGCTGCATTGTAGATGTTTGGCCGATTTTGTTGGAAGCCATCTCTTCCCCTTTATAAAAACCCTGATGTGAGCAGGTAAAATATCATTTTAATTGGGTATTTTATAGATATTGATTGTTGCTGACTGAAATTCTTAGTGTATTCTTGATTTTGTTTGGCATTTTACTAATTCAAATATAGGGTAGTGCCTACATGTGACTGTCTTTTGGGCTTATTACATTACATTAATCATGATTTTGAATTTTGAGCTGCCATAACTTATTTTAGAACAAGCGATAACTTTTGTAAATTTTGGTATTTTCTTGCCCTTGCAGAAGGAAAAGTAAATTTCTAGTAACAGAGAATGTACAAGCTCCGACTAAAAACTCGGGGATTTGTGGCTTAATCCGTCCTGAGTCACTGGCGCTCTTAATACCACCCTACTCGCCGCTTTATTGAGCTAGGGCCTACATTTGCACGCGACCTGACAGCTGTTTTGCTTTGACTGATCCTTAGATTTCATTTATAGTAATTTATTAATTCATTAATTAATTTAAAACAAGGAAAGAGGAATCATCCCACCATTTCCTCTTATTTATAAAAAAAGGCGTGGCACCTTCCTAAAGGTGTTTGTGAAAACGAAGATATAAATGAATACATACAACATGAAATAATATCAATGAATGTTACATATAAAGAGAGATATAAATACAAAGTTGATGAAATGTTCTCTTTGAAAGCACTAATACTTTGAAGTGTGAACTCCATTCTGTATTCGATATTGCTCTGTCCAATTCCATGGCAACTTTGCTTGGATTTAAGAACAAAATTTTTCCCAGAAACAAAATCTACACATCGAATTTACCTGTAAACATAACCCCCATCAGGATAATAAGAGTCGACTATGGATTAATATCAGGAGCTTATTGCAATGGCAATGAAATGCACACTTTGTATGAGTTTGATATAGATGTTGAATCGGGATTTAAATTAACAAAGGAGCCTCAGAATGTAATATATATGAGAGTTAAGCCGCGTGGACGCCAATTTATTGATAACATCACACTGGAAATTTTGGATGACGTCGGGAATTTGGTCAATTTTTGTGGTGAAAAAACTCAAATTAGATATACATCATTTGAAGAATGTAGAAAAAGGTCGCACAACTAATCATAAAAGACAAAGAACCAATGGAAATTCCGTTATTCGTCGTTCAACCATCGTCAAAGACACAGCATCGAATATTTCACTGCAAAATCGTAAGTTCCTAGAGTCTATAGGACTAAAACTAATCAAACAGTATGATTCTGTCGTATCAAATGGAGAAATTGGATGTTTGTGAGGAACCCATCATAGATCATTCCTTAGCCAGCCTACAAGAATACACATACAAACCATATGGATTTCAGGAATTCAGATATAGTTCACATGCCTACAAACTTCCAAGATATTATTTTAAACATTGCTGACAGTTATATTTTCGTCGAAGAAACATTTACGCCTAGCGACGCTACGAAACCCTGCTACCTATCAAACAATGCCTTGGCCTTTTTATTTCAAGAAATTTCCCTACAGATGGGTGGCGAAAAAGTTTATAGAGTTCGGAATCCAGGCATAATTTCAACTATAAAAACGAAGGTGTCACATGGTAAAAGTGCTATGCATACACTTTTATGTACTGGTTGGGGCTTAAGTGCCGAGAACTCGGCTATATGGGATGACAAAAGCAAAGTTTTTAGTGGTAGGATACCCCTAAAACATATAATAGGATTCGCAGAAGACTACAAAAAAAGGAATTCTAAATACAAAACAAGAACTTCTGTTGGTTATTGCAAGATCCTTCAAAAACTGTTATGTAGGTGAATGTGATGCTGAATTGACATATCCAACACATCGCTCCGGAAGATCGTTACAAAGTCAAGCTTCTGCAAAGGTTGAATAAACATGTGAGCTCAAGGATCAAGGTAGCATTTCGATCTGGGGATCTCTATGAGCTTCCATCTCTTCGTTCTACATAATCGGGTGTTTAGGCAATTAGAACAACCAGTAAACTAGAGAGACCTCTATTCGTTATCATTGGATATGAAGATTCTACAATTGAAGCAAATCATTCGATGGATATAACGAAATTCATAAACGCCAACGTTAACTCGATTCATTTGAAGTTGAACAACCAAGTATTCCCATATGAAAGGTGGAACTTCGAAAAAAAGCTCAACACCGCAGCTTATTATGCATTTGAGAACTTTCAACATCCTACAACAGGAACATTCCTGAACCTATGATGAATATTGAAGAATTTAATGACAATCCGCTATTGGTTATTGATTGCAGCCATCAGCCTGATCATCTCTAACTTTCAACTGTCGACATATCTTTGGAATTTGAAACCAGAAAATCTGCATTTCCATTCCACACGAAGTTGTATGCATTAGTTATTCATGACTCATGCATCAGTTACAATGCTTTTGATGGGTCTATTCAAAATGGACTTATTCATTCCTATTAAATGTTTTTGTAAGTGTGAAATAAAACACATTTTCTTACATGTTGCTTTTATTTACCTGTACGAGCTTGAAGTAACCCAAATTTAATACTTACAAACTTCCTCTAACATTAATTTTATTAATAAGTATAAATTACAATTTTCAGGAAAAGCGCCTGCTGCAATATCATTGATTGCACGTATAGCATATTTAACATTCAACGAGGGGTCAGTCTGGTAAAACTCAATGTCAGAGTGTCCTCAAAGTAAAGTTTTTGTGGCATTAAAAATAATAAACCTTTTGTCATCATGGTGTGCTAGAGCAACTTTGTTTTTCACCTCAGTAGTTTGCATTTAAAAGCATGTATCTTTCTCAATATCCACCCACCTCCTTCGATTATTCTCTTATAGTCATTCCCAGATAGCTGCTTCTGTATTCTTTTTGAACACCATTCGCCTTTTTGATTTCATTATTACCTGACCTAATAACCTAATATAATATCTAAGCTTTTGCAGCCGCCCCATAAAAGCTAATTATTGGATCCGCTGGATACTCATCTTTCATTTTACCGAGGATCGAATGATTCACTGGAATATTGAATTCATTGTTCTGGTAATAATTAGATGTGACAAATTCATTGAAGACTCAACCACATCTTCCGTCGACTCATTTCTATTATCCGACACGTTGCTGATAGGGTCTAAGTGCTGAGAGGTTTTTTCAGTTGGCATGGTCATTGAGAGGACAACAATAGCTTAACACAAGCCTCTCCAACTCGGGTGCCACAAGGGCAGCGCCGAGCACCAGAGCACCGCTCGCATCACAGTGCTGCGGTGCGACTCTGTGAATGTGGGGGAGGGATTATGACAGCAGCATACACATCGGACATTGCGATGAAGGTTTTGTGGTAGTCGTAGCGCTCGGAAAATAGAAATGGTCCGGAAGCTGGTCACACTGAATCTACCTTCATCGCGGATTCGACTAAATTTAGTAATAATTTGTAGTTTTTAAGTAAATGAACAAGAACAGCTCGGTATGACGGGGCGCATCCTATCGAAGGTACCTATCATACAGAGTTGAAGATAAAGCGTGAAAAAAGAATGTCACCGCGTCTTGGTAGAATCCAATGAAGCCTACATTCAACAACTTTTCCAATATTTGGTACAATGGTTTTAGAAGTGGAAATTCTGAGTATCGCCTCTAAGAACTCATCTGACTATGATTACCTCTTCAGAACATTGAAGGGCTGACCTCTATTCATCAATTCGCACTCATCTTTCATCGCCAGTAATGCCACCATAATATACATGTATACCTATATAGAATGTTTGTTTACATAATGTCGGTGAATAGTCGATGACTTAACGTTAACTATGGTGTGACAAATTAAACATTGTGCTTTCCATCAGTATTTACAAAAAAAGGCTTGTTTCCATACAGGGTTGAACGACATCGTTTAAAAAAATAAGCAGGTTAAGACCTGTGCACTTTGTATTGTCCTATTAAGAAATAGCCTGCGCTAATGTTTTGCTTTCTGTCACGACGGCTGTGCGGTCAAGGAGGAGGGGGAAACTTCAGGGCACCTAACCACACATTTCGTCGACACATTTCTACTAAACAACACGTTTTAGATGCTAAGACGATGGTCATTGAGAGGACTCAGAACTTAAACACCCCCCGCCCCTTATCCCACCGCAAACACCCCCCCCCCCTTGGGTTCCATCAAGCTATTTACATGAACAGAGCTGGATTACGTTACAGCACAGACGCATACAAGCCATTTGAACAACCCCGATAAAGTTCAGGCAGTCTACAAAAAATATACGGTCAACATTTCTATTATACAGCACCGAACTGCTAAGAGGCCTTAGAATTAGCAAGGCCATTGACAGGGCAACAATGCCTTACACCTTCCGTCGACTCTTTTCTACTTTAGAATACGTTGATGGTCGGGGACCGAACCGATAATAGGTTTTAGAATTAGCATCCCATTGAGAGTCGACTCTTTTCTATTATACAATAGGTTATTGATCGGAGGCCGAAGCGTCACGAGGTTTTACAATTAAAATGGTCATTGAGAGGGCAGCATTGCCTTCCGTCGAGCTATTTATATGATATAAATTTGTCGGCAGGGGGGCGGGGGGAGGAGGTGTATAAGTTAACCACACCTTCCGTCGACTCATTTCTATTATACAACACGTTCTTGATAGGAAACCGAACTGCTGAAAGGTCTTACAATTTGCATGGTCATTGAGAGGACTCAGAACTCGATATAAATATAGACTATCGACGTTTCTACAGTATCGATGGCTCGTACACATCTTCTAATTCCAGCTGCAGCGATCAGCTGAGCAACGCTACTGATCCGATTGGTGAGTTCTTAAGCAAAACTTCAATATACTGAACTTTATTTTAAGAAGTGACCTTGAATTAAGAAAATGACCATAACCTCAATATGTTTAGTCATTCTTGCAAAAATGTACTGATTTGAATACTTAATGCAACGTCATCATTAGGCGCTCCTCTAGCGATGTCGGATTGCGTTCAGGTGCCTCCAGCAGATATCTCTTCACTAAGGTCAGGAGTTAATACCAGCGTGGCTTTTCATTTTTTGCTCTAGGTATGGCCATCCTCAATTAATCGCACAAAAAACAAGTCCAAAACAGAAAAACATACCCGAAAACGAACACCAAAACAAATCTCTACCGCAAATTCGCCAACAACTCAAACAAAAACAACAGATGATTCACCGCCTGGCTTGTCCGTACATCGTCGTGGAACACGAGACGCCACATGATTATTATGATTACGTCAATAAGAGCATAAAACAGTATGAAAAGGGCTATCCAAGGGTAAGACGAGTACCGACACCACCCGAATCATGTCAAAAATTGGTGTGACGTCACCAAAACGTTTGACCACCACTGGAAATCACTAGCTAGTTACCATCTGGCGGCGTAACATGTGGAGGACACTAGTGTGGAAACAAATGATCCTGAAATTAGATCACGTTGAGTCGTGCATGAACCCGACATAAACCTTCTTCAGTGTATGTATATGTCTTTGGAGCTGATTTTTCTTTCTTTAAACGGTGAGCAAAAGCAGGAATTACACGTACTGCAGCACTGCAGGGTAAATGTGATATCGAGGAATGGTTGCCAAAATATAATATTCAGTAGAATACTAGAATATATTCGTTTCCTCAGGTTACACCCGTATCCGGATGTATGGGCATGTGTATCTACTTTTGTGGTTGCATATGTGCATTCATTTCGGACCAGATGAAGCCAAAAAGCAGAAATACGTATTGCTCGGGTCACCTGTCCTATTTTCTGCTCGAATCCACTTTCCTTCATCTTGCGGATTTTGCTCATTATTTTCTAATTTTTAGTTATAACGGATGATTCTTTAAGAGGTATAGGATTTGATTTAAAAAAAAAACACAAAACATTTGAAAAAACGATTAAATCTTTATTTGAGTCAACAGAACGGTCGATATAATTTAATGTTTAAAGATTATTTCATGTAAATGTTGGCCGCGGCTCCGCTTTAGATGGCCCATGCGCAAGGTCCAATTTTGGCACACTCTCTCCAACATATCGGCCGGTATCTCACGAATAAATGCTTCAATATTGGCTTCCAGTGCGTCAATCGTTGCTGGCTTATCCCTGTAGACATTAGCCTTAACATGGCCCCACAAGAAATAGTCCAACGGCGTTAAATCACACGATCTAGGCGGCCAATTGACGAGCCCCAAACGTGAGATAAACTGTTCACCGAACTCGCCTCTCAATGGGGCCATTGTTTCGTGTGCGGTGTGGCATGTGGCACCGTCTTGTTGAAACCACATGTCAGCCAAGTCCAGCTCTTCCATTTTGGGCAAAAAAAAGTTTGTTATCATCGCACGGTAGCGCTCGCCATTCACAGTTACGTTCCGGCCATTGTCGTCTTTGAAGAAGTACGGTCCGATGATGCCACCGGCCCATAATCCACACCAAACAGTGATTTTTTCGGGATGCATTGGTAGCTCTTGCAATGCTTCTGGCTGGTCTTCACTCCAGATGCAGCAATTTTGCTTGTTAACGTACCCATTCAACCAGAAATGAGCTTCGTCGCTGAAAACAATTTTTCGATAAAAATGTGGAT